AGGTCTGGGAAGTGGAAGGCTGAGGCAGAGAGGTACTGCCAGCAGCTGCCACGAGATGTTAAGATACTGGTAAGCCACAAGCCACGTGACAAAGGATAGATTAATAGAAATGGGTTAATTTAAGATATAAGAGCAGCTGGCTAGAAGCCTGAGCCATTAGGCCAAACAATTTAAATAATATAAGCCTCTGTGTGTTTATTTTATAAGTGGGCTGCGGGACTGCCGGGACTTGGCGGGTCCCGGAGAGAAACTCTCCAGCTACAACTTCTCTCCTTTTTTTTCTCCCAGATTTCTCCTTCTATATCTTCTTTCTGCCCGCCAGCCCTGCCTATTCTTTCTCCTACCTTGCTATTGGCCATTCACTTCTTTATTCAACCAGTCAGGTGTTTTAGACAGGCACATTAACACAGCTTCAGAGAGTTAAACATATGCAATGTAAACAAAAGTAACAAAACCATAAAATAATATTCTGCAACATTTCCCCTTTTTATCTAAATAACAATGAAAGGGTTTTTAACTTAAACATAGTAAGACTATATACAATAACAATTATCAAGTAAGGATTACATTCACAATATTCTGTCCATTTGTAGTTAGCATATTCAGAGAAAATAATTCATTATCTATCCTATCTTAGCGAATCCAAAATTTTACACCTAATTTACTCTCTATCATAACTAAGGAAAACTACAACTATAACTATTTAGTCTTCAACTCCACTAAAGGTCCCCAAAAAGATATGATATTATTTGAATAAATAAAAAGTGCATTGTAAACAACTTCCAAAACTCTAGCAATGACAGAGACATATGACTGCCTGGACAGTGACCCAAAGTTCCTCTGCAACATTGGGGTATACTTCAGCCTACAGGCACGGAATACCTGGCAAACTTTTCAGTGAAGCAGGAAATTTTAAGGACTGTCCTGCCTTGTGTTGGCAATGTTCATCAGTCACTTTCCTCCGTGTCCTGCAGAACATCTGGCAGACTCCTCTGTGAAGCAGGACTTTTTTTTTTCTGAGGCAGGATTTCTTTGTGTAGCTTTGGACCCTGTGCTGGAACTCACCCTTTAGACCAGGCTGGCCTCGAACTCACAGAAATCACCCTGCCTCTGCCTCCTGAGTGCTGGGATTAAAGGAGAGCGCCACCACTGCCCGCTGAAGTAGGAATTTTGAAAGACTATCCTGACTTGTTTTGGCAAATTTGAACAGTTTTTTTTTTTTTTCCTGTGTGCCCTGCATGTCCAGGCTGCACAGAAATTGTCAGCAATAAAAAGAAAGAGCAGGCTGGGCGGTGGTGGCTCACGCCTTTAATCCCAGCACTCGGGAGGCAGAGCCAGGTGGATCTCTGTGAGTTCGAGGCCAGCCTGGGTTACCAAGTGAGTTCCAGGAAAGGCGCAAAGCTACACAGAGAAACCCTGTCTCGAAAAACCAAAAAAAAAAAAGAAAGAAAGAAAGAGCAGTTTCTTTGCCCAGTGGCTAACATTGCCACAGTGAAAGCAAACTCCATCAGGAGTTTCTTCAATGCCCACCTGCCAGGAGCCAATGTGTCTCATTGTCATAAAAAAACCTTAAGTTAACAAAACATTTTATTTTATTCAATTAATTAATTAATTAATTTTGGTTTTTCAAGACAGGTTTTCTCTGTGTAGTTTTGGTGCCTGTCCTGGAACTCACTCTGTAGACCAGGCTGGCCTCAAACTCATAGAGATCTGCCTGGCTCTGCCTCCCGAGTGCCAGGATTAAAGGCATGTGCCACCACCCGGCAACAAAACATTTTAAATGTCATATACTATAGGTCTTTGAAGTATTTGAAGACCATCTACCTAAAATATATCTATTTAACCTAGAAAACAGACCTAACATATCTATAAATTTGATTGTTATAAAAAACTAACTACTGACCTATGCTTCTTGATTGTCCTATATAGTTTATAATAGCTTTCAAAAACTAGAACTTTTGTTTTGTTTTGGGTTTTTTTTTTTTGGAGGGGGGGGTCAGGGTTTCTCTGCGTGGCTTTGGAGCCTGTCCTGGATCTTGATCTGTAGACCAGGCTGGACTCGAACTCACAGAGATCCAGCTGGCTCTGCCTCCTGAGTGCTGGGATTAAAAGCGTGCGCCACCACACCCAGCAGAGGCCAGTGATTGATTCCTGCCATTTTGTTGAGCTGATAGAGTTTGGGGTTTTTGCTCTCCCCTTCTTCCTTAACTGTTCTTCTGATATGGGCTATTCTTTCCTGTGGCCTCATGGATGGATTTGTTATTTTTTTCCTTCAGTCCTAAGGATCCACTCAAGTATCTTCTGTAGAACTGGTATAGTGCTATACCTCCCTTTAGTCTACTCTTATGGTGAAAAGTTATTTTTCTTCAGTTATGACAGTTTTGCTGGTTTTAGTATTCTAGGTTAGCAGTCATTAGTTTCCTTATTAAATTTTTTTTAGATTTAGTTATCTCATTATTTTATGTGTATGAGTATTTTGTCTGCATGTATGTGTGTGCATCGCAGGAGTACCTGGTAACTGAGGTCAGAAGAGGGCACCAGGTCTCCTGGAACTGGAGTTGCAGATGGTTGTGAGCCTTCATGTGGGTGCTAGAAATTGAACCTGGGTCCTCTGCAACAGCAACATGTGGTATTAACCACTGAGCCAACTCCCCAGCCCCAATTTCTAGCTTTCAGAATGAAATAGGTCATTCCAAGTTCTTCTTGAGCTTGTCGTGAATTGATGTTTTCTCTTGCCACTTGTGTACATTTTCTTTGTTCTGTATATTTGATGTTTTAATTGTAATATTTTGAAGGGAAGTTCTATTCTGATCTTGTCTGTTTGGTGTACTAAATACCTCCTGTATCTGGATTGGCATCGTGTTTCTTT